ATATATATATATATATATATAACTAGACAAACCTTATGGTTGTACGGCAGTGAAGCATCAGTGGCAACACTGATATTGCTGTCCTTGATGATGATGATGATGATGATGATGATGATGATTGATGTGATGATATGTCGTGGGAGTTGCACTCAGCCCTAGAGCTGAACGCGCTTTGCTGGATTGGATCCTAGTGAACAGTCGTCTCCGACCGGTTACTCAAGTCGGTCGTCTGAGCTCTTTGGAATATCATCTGGGCGGCCAAGTCGGAGTTTACGCTCGCCGCACAGACAACGGGAACCGACCCCATTAGTTGTGTGCTGATCATAAACTGTTTCTGGGAAGTACGAACTTTCAACATAAACGTTCGCGTCGCGCAACCTGGCGGCCGCCAACTGCCCATCAACTATGCACCCAGTTGGACCACGTAGCCATCAGCCACCGATGGAGAGCCACAATTCAAGACTGCCGTTCCTTCTGTGGCACAGCATTTGATTCCGACCACGCTATGGTGCGTGCACGCCTGACAGTTCGTTTCCCTTCAGGCCATCACAAATTAGCAAGGAGCATGCCAATCCACTGTCTTTGAAGAACGACGATAACTCAACTGTGCCTATCCGAGCTAGTCCAACAACTCTCCACAGTAAACCAATACTGTAGTGGTTGTGAGCATGTGGATGAAGCATGGGAAAATGTGAAAGGAGCTATGCTATCGGTGTTCAGTGCTATCAGTCCGACTCCTCCGATTCTAACACAAGACCATACTACTTTGCGGATCAGAAGCCTGGCCGTTGTGCTCTGAGGATGTCAAAAGACTTTCACTGTTTGATCATCGATGTCTTCGGAGCATTGCGGGAGTCTGGTGGGAACACCGGATCAGCAGTGCTAAAGTACGTTGAAGGGTATCCGGAACAAATAGTTCACCCTTGATAAATGAACTGATCACACTGCATCGGTTGCGCTGGCTTAGTCACTTGCTGCGTATGCCTTCGATCGACTTCCTCGAAGGGTTCTTTTCGCACAACTACGTGAGATGGGGAAACGAGCCAGAGGCGGTCAAACAATGAATTGGCAGCAAAGTATGAAATCCATTACCAGCAAACTCACCTGCACTGGTCCTTGACGTCTTCCTGGATGGGGACCCCGAGACGGGCCACATCAATGGTTGGAGACATTGTCAGACATGGCCCAGTCGCGCCCTCAGTGGCGCTCGTGCATCCAAGCTATTGCCTTCAATGCATAGCTCCCTTCCTAATTCCCCCACTTGACAATTCACCGACAGTGCTGTATTTACGCACGAATTTATCAGCTCTCGTCTCCAATGCGCAGCTATCTACCTCACCTCCCCGAATCATCGGTGAACGAAACTGTGGCGGCCACAACCACTGTACGACAAGTTCGCGGTTCTTACAACTGACAATGATGATGATGATGACCAATGTGGTCATACTGAGTGAACATGAATACAAATTTGGGATACACGAAGTAGGTTTTGGCGGTATATTTCATCATACTTGGAACTAATCAACTTTCGGGGAGCATCGCAACACGAATTCAGTAAAATCGACACCAACACCAAGGCACCCTTGAAATGCCTCAGGACTTTTGCTGGAAAAAGAAATATATGGCTACCATCGTTTTCAGTACCGTATTTAAAGGAGAAGGTTTTTGGGTTGGTTATCACATTTCTCTAACTGTCCAGTAGACCTTTTGTAACCTGAGTACCTAAGGCCTTTTCTGCATCACCTTCAGTTTGATTCGCTTTAGCTGATGTCATTGAACTAAGCCCTCTCACAGAATGCTATCACATTTTATGTGCAATAATTCATTCAAGAGGGTGACCTCTGGAGACTTCTCTTAAGAGTGGCTCCATTTCAGAGGTATCTCTCGTTAACTTGTGCCTCATAGGGAACGCTGTCTTACTACCTTTATGGCAGTGACCCCTGAAGGGATCTCTTTCAGGTTGTAAGTTCATAATGTCTGTCATCTCATAGGCTGTGTTCCATCTGTCCGTTTTTATGTTAGAGATGTGACGTAAGCGGGAAATTGAGAGGATATCGTAAATAGTAGGCAAGGGAACTATTGGCTGAAAAGTTTAACAATAACGGGTTTTTATTTGAAGGCAAAAGGACCAACCGCTGAGTGGAGTTTTGCACTGTGAAGTCAATACCTTACTATGCGTGGAATGTCACAAATATTTGCAGCTGTCATCTTGTTTCGTTTAATCTACCCAAGCTTCCTCTCGGTAGTTTCGTAATATAAACGAGTATCGTCGTTCTCAGTTTTGTTCTTAGGCTGGTTCACTTTTTGTCGCTCTGTTCAGTTATCTGCAAGCTGTTTTCCGGAACTAAAATCAAAGAATAGTTGCATGCAAAACAAGGGACTTACGCCGTTAGTTTACAGTTCAACTAAGCATAATTGTCTCAAGTATTTGACGGACACCCTGTTGATTCAAACCTAAGGGGTGGGTTCCTTTGTCACTTCTATTACCGGTTTCGAGTTCATCGCTTTTTCAGGACATGTCGTACGTCCCTTACTTCCATCGCGTAACGTCTTCCATTTTGCGTATCATATCAGTGCATTCTTGACCCGCTTTTCTTCCAAAACGGAACTAGTGCTTTCGTCTGCCATTTCATCAAGGCCGGCTACTCGCACGCAACCCAGTTTTAGGTGACGATCCACATTCAACAACCTACTTCTGCTTACGATTCCATCCAGGATGTTTATGTGCACAGATTTGTTGTGGTGTCCTAGTTGTGTTCAGAGCGTTGGCTCACAGTTGATTGCGGAACTGTTCGGTTTCGGCTGTCATGGCTGCTGGTCAGCCGCCATTCATGTATCGTAGCTGGTTCTGCCCTTGTTGTAACTTGTGCAGTGCCCTTCTAAGCCTCTATATGTATGGGCGACATACGCGTGAAGTGACAGTTGAACATTCAGTAAATGGCACTCAGTTACCTTAAATCAGGATTTTGGTACCCATAATGTCACATACAAGGCAAATTCTGAAGGCGGAAGTTGAACTCTTGACCCTGTCGGACGGGTACCGTACCAGCTGAAGCGTCATGGGCGCGTCACTCATATTCACTTGGACTGTACATGCGATCGGCGACACCGCTGTCAGACGGAGGTTCACCCGAAGACTGTCAGCATCCCTTATGTGACTTTCTCATCTCCCATGATCAGCCGACGCGAAACTCAGTTTTTAGACCGGCAAGGAAGAAGTTGTAGAGTTAACGCCCCTGAAACATTTGTTCTTTTCGTTTTAACTATGCACGTGTGCTTCCAATTTACAATTAACCGCGCCGTTACCTATTCGAATAGCCTGGTACCTCGGCCAATTTTGTTGTGATTTTC